CTCTCTCTCTCTCTCTCTCTCTCTCTCTCTCTCTCTCTAAAACACATCTGTGCTTCCTAAAGCAGTAGTGCTGTAATGGTGCTTTGCCACAACAATCTATTGTGGTAGGTGAGACCAAGTATATTACTCAAACAAAAGAACTGGGGTGCTCAACTCGGCTGTCTTTAGAGTATAATGCAACACCCAACTATCTCAGAATTAGCAAATCAGGTCGTCGGCACTCGCAAATAACTGTGTAACACTTTTAATGATGCACAGCAGCAGAATGAAACTGACGCGCTTCAGCTCTAGGCTTTCCTCAGCATTTCCCCAATTATATTTACCAGAAGGAGAAACAGATTTTGATGGAGCAGTATTGGTCTTGGACTGGTTGGTCAGGTTCAGTTAGAGAATTGCATAGTGGATATGTTGAATATATTGTGTTCTGCAGAAATGTTGCATCTGTGGAATCTTTTCCCACTTGATTCATAAACTTTTCAACATTGAGCAGTGTATACTTCATTTAGTTCTTCATGGCCCTGGGCATTTCAACCCACTGCAGATAATGTTAGCTTTAATTTTGAGGAAATGATGAAAGGCATAAGAGGGCAAAGAGTGCACTCTATGTTGGGCATGGACTGTAGATTGTAATGGTATGTGATGGCTTTACCACAGAGGTCAGTTGTGGTTTTAAGAAAACCTCTGCCGACCAGTACAAACAGTAACTCTGCCCTCATTTTCACGTATAAAAATAGATTTTCTTTTTCTTTCCTTCCACAGCCAACACACAGCGACTAGGTGTTGTATATCTCCCATTACCTCGTGGATCTGCTCATTGTGACACTACTGGGGATGAAAAGGCATATGATGGACTCTCAAAGTGGACAGGTTGGTAAGTATTAAGGAGTATTCACCAGTTAGCCTTTTCTTTTGCACAGTTAGATGAGATATGTGCATTATCTATGGAGTAAGACCCATGAGTATTTGAATAATCCATACACAAACAGAAACTATTTCTTGAAGAACAGTTTATCCATCTGCCTTGCACTTTTGTGCAGCATATGGTCAATAAGCACGACATATAGTCTCTGTACAGGTCTAATGGTGCCCAACTTGGCAACCTCACTGTGACAATGAGTCTAGGAAGTGGCTGCACCCAACTGTTGTTCACCAAGAAATAAACAAATTGTTTTTGTTACTTTCTTATTTATGTTCGAATCACACAAACAATATATACCATGTGATAACTTCTGAGCTGAAGAGGTGGTGTAATTGTTATTTTACAATTTGGACTGAACCTGGCCAGCTGTTTCCAACTGCTACCGTTCTTTATGCTAAACTAGACTATTTGCCTCCCAGCTCAACTTAAAGGAGACATGTAATCCCAATTTTCAGGTTCTATGCTTTTCTCACTAGAACATGTTCACATTCTTTTTTTCTTTGTTTTTCTCATACTGTCCCTGTACATGTTCACTCTCTATCTGCATGTGACATAGAAGGGGAGCCAAGGGTTGTCTCATTACACAGTTTTGTGGGTTTGTAGGCACTCCAGATACCCAAATGTATGTGCACAATGGGGCTGCACAACATGCGTGTCATCATCAACACGGTTCTCATTTTCCATGACTAATCAAGTGTTTTCCACAAATTAAATTAACCATATATGACTGGGTTGTCTTATTTTAGCTTGTGGGTTTGTAGGCACTCCAGATATCCAAATGTACATGCACAAGACCTGAAAAAGTGAGTTTATCATGACATGTCCCCATGACATGAGCACTGACATGAGAGTGGTATCAATCTTCTCTTTTAACTTTTAAAGAAAGCAAATATTTCCCTGCAACCATCTTTTTAGTGGTTCATTACAAACATGGGACATGGAACATACTTGAGGTACAAAATGCACAAAAGTGAAGCAGCAGTTCCCAACAAATAATCAGTGCACCGAGAAGTATGGTGGAATATGGCAAGAGGTTACATCAAAAAATAGTAGCCTACAAAATTTGACTAACAGAACAATTGTGGCGTGTGTGTATTTGACCTGTGATGGTCAGTATCATGTATGTTTTTTATCATTCAAACTGAGAGTACTACATACAACCAACATCGTCTAGGCTTGCCATTGCCATTTAATGAAAACTAACTGCCGAGATAGAAAACAGATTTCCCACAACAAAGATATTCTGCCACAGTTGACTGACAAAGTTAATTTTAAAAACATTCTCTGCTCGACAATGACCTCTACTCTTAGCATCAGTCGAACTAAAGGCACAAACCCAAAATTAAATCAGAGCAATGCAACAGTCCCTTAGCTATTACCGTTTGTGGAACCTGCTTAATACAAGAGATACATTTCCAGTGTCTTTGAGCTGCCGTGCAATATGCACATCTTTTCAAGCTGTATGTGTGTTTATGTGTGTAAGAGGGTTGTAAAAATGCTTTATGGCGTCTTTCGAACCACTGACCTTTACAGAAAGTCACTGATCTGTTCAAAACAACATGATGTACTGTGTGCATGCAGGTCTGTGCACACATCCATGTTTCTGTGTGGTTACGTGTGCACAATTATGTCTGTGAGACATGATGTGCAGCCAGTAACATTATATCCCACCAGCCATCATTAACTTTGACGTACAGCCAAATGTCATTATGTATGGACGACTGCATGATTTACTGTTAGAGATATAAGGGAGTGGCTACTGTAATGAACTTGCTGAGAGTTTGATTTATGGGTCTCTGCTGGAGGGAAAGAAGTAAATACTATCACTGTGATGGCAATGATTACATTGATGATGGTGGTGATGAAATTGCCCTCCTCACTTGCAGATGTAGGTGCAATTTCTGGAGGGAGTGAAAGAGGAAAAAGGGAGGACAACAAGGAGGAGGAGATGAAGGAAGCAGTTTGAGGAGATGAAGGAAGCAGTTTGAGGAGATGGAGGAAGAGGAAACAGAGAGGAGGGAAGGAAGGAGAGCAATTGTAGACTAGCAAACTTTGATGTTTTGACAAGCCAGCCACTGCTGGAGGGAGCGCTGATGATGATTTCAATCAACGATGATGACGCTGATGATGGAACAGTTCACACAGTCTTTTAAGTCTGTTAATACTGAAGATTTGTGAAGCCACAGGGTGTCATTTTGATCAAAACTAGTGGACAGCATCCCCCCCTGCCTCAGTGTCTTTGAGCAAAGCTGCTCTGCAGCTGACCTTGTGCTTTGACATTCCTGATGGAGAAGTGAGTGTGAATGTGGAAGGTTGCAGAACAATTTGGATGAATGAGAAGGGAAGGAAGAAGAGCGCCATGGGATACTTTTAAGGAGGGGGAAAGGGAAAGCACGAGGAAAATGGTGCAGAATCGATGGATAATAAAGAGCAACAGAAAAAAAATGATTACTGGGAGGTATTATTGTAATTACTAGAGTTAAAAACAAACTAAGGGGAGGGATTCCATTTCTAACTTCCAGCTAATCGCTGCTGATGCAATATCATGCTTTTACAGCAATATCAAAATGCTATGTGCTTCACATGCTTATGTATTTGTGTACCTATGACTGAAAATACATATAATCCTGATATTTAGACATAATTAATACCACACAGCACAAGAGCCCACAGTGACAGAACTGAGCTGCAATCTCACCCTCCTCTCTCTCTCATACAAACACACAGCACAGCTAACCTTCAACCAAGCACAGTCAGACTCTGCCCTCTAATGGAAAACAGTCAAAACTACATTCATACCCTTTTCTCTTTCTTCCTTTACTGAAATACAGACAGACTGCTCAGAACTAGAATTAGCGCTTCACGGTTGTATCATCACTTCATCATTTTATCCTACTAGACATTTCTGTGAAATTGTCATAGTTGGCGTATGAATTATTGAGTAATGGACACAAGGTTGGACACACCGAAGTCTAATCAGTTTATCCTCGAGTCAAAGTGGACATTTGTGCCAAATTTGAAGAGATTTGCTCAAGGCGCCTAAAATAAGCTCAGCTTTGTTAAAATCGTTTAAGAGGTAACTTTTAAAATGGCCAACGATTCAAGTATTGTAATGTTTGCATTTTACAAACAATTCTGTATTACAGTTTTTCTTCATTGTATACAAAAAAATGTAAATATGCACTCAACTCTAAAAACAACTTCATCAACGAAAAGGCTCCAGACTTCAAAACTCAAAGCACAATTCCATCATTTTCACTCAAACAGAAATTTCTAAAAGGACTGACATCTTAAGGATTGCCACTTAAATATGTGTTGTGTTCTCCTTGCAGCCGCAGAAGGGAAAAGTCCCACAGCAGGGCTGAAGCCAGGGTCTCCACAGAATCCTGTCCAATGTCATCTGGCTCTGAACACTTCCGGCATCTGCGTCGGGGTGCGAATGAGTATCATCCGACCCCTTCTTGTTTGTGAGGGTATCTCTATGTCTCTCCACAGCTTTGGTGGTCTGCTGAAGGATTTCAGCATGTCGCGGCTCAGTATCAGGGGTCAGTGGGCGGGACTCTGAGGGATCGTGGAAAAGGTCGTACAGCAGCGGTGGGTTGTGTTGCATCACATGTTCTCCATGACATAGACAGACCTTAGTGTCGTAGCAACCCCCGGCTCCCGGGGGAGAAAAGTTAGGAGTGAAAAAGTGCACCTTGAAGACGGAGTCACCTGGATGGAAACACACACACACACACACACACACACACACCAGATGAGAGCATTCACATGTTAACAGTATATACTGCCACAGGTTAAAGCTAAACAAAAAACTTTTCAAGTTGTTCTAGATTTTACTTTTAATTTACTACTTTCATTATGACTTTCATTTGTGACTGGCTCTGATTTTCAAAGAACCTTTACTGCAATAAGCTATAAGAAGGCAAGATACAGAACAGAGATAACACACATTTATATTTTATTTTTTTACTTATTTTACCTTTTAAGAATCACAAAACACCTCATCACTAACTTGACACATATACTGTATGTTTATGTTGACCTAAATCTTGTGGAAATAAAGGCAGTTGTTTAACATGTTTTGGTATCTCTTTTTGTCAAATAATATGCTAGAATCAGATTCAGGAATCAATAACAACTGGAGCTGATTAGCAGAAAAGGAATTTGAAAATCGCTAAAATCGAAAACATATCCATTTCTAATCTGATTTCTCAGTTACATTCACCTGTTTAATAAGCATTCAATTTCACCCTAAAGGTTTTACAAAAGTAGTAAAAAGACACCACACATACAGAACATATTATGCTAAGTTACAGGCTCATAATTGTATTTGGTATTTCCACTAGAACATGTTGCTTTAATGTTGAAAATGATTTTCCTCATACTGTCTGTCTGAATATGCCTGTATTCACCCTCTGTCTGAAACGCTCTAGCGTCTGTCTCTTTAAGCCTCCGGAAAAAAAGCCCAGTCAGCTCTGATTGGCTTGCAAGAAAAACAAGGTGCACCTTTGCAAAGGTAGTTTTAGAGCCGTGGGTGGAGATACTCAGACGGGGGCGGTATATTCTAACGAGCCTGCATGCGACATATGAAGGGGAGGCAAATCTGAATGGCTTGTTCAATCATGTTTTCTAAACTAGACAGTTCACAAAAAAATGATTTCACAGTTTGTGGGATTTTCATAATATGTCCCCTTTTAAATTCACTATAATGCTGCACTCATTCGCTCATACACATAATGTAATGTGTTTTTACTTGAGTGCTAACGTGGTTTATTTGAGCTTGATTCTGTGCGATTGTATTTGTCAATGCCGTTTGATTTTAGTTTCACATCAACATAGGTGGCTTATTCTACAGAATGAAACAGCAGACCTCATAATAGTAAAAACATTTGTCTGCTAAATGATTGACTGGGTCTCTGTGTCTACATGTGTGAACTTACTTCCAGGTGGGTGCCAGCGTACTGCATTCAGGTAGATTCCACAGTAGTGGAACATGAATTCATGCTCTGATCGCTCCACCTTTCCCTCCAACAGTGGCATTAGGTTAAAGCCATCTGATTGTCTGGGAGAGAGAGGTACAATTAAGAGAAAGTGAGAAACACAAATGTGCTTTAAAATCAAGGGAGAGAGCATTACCACAACAATACATGCAGAGAGAGATTCTAGACTTTTAACCTTTAGTTCTTTAATAAACTTTCTAAAGATCGCAAGTTTGTCCCCGACAATGCTTGCAAAATTAGCGAAATCAGTGGCCACTCGTATTTGTTTACAGATAATGAGGTGCTTTCGGATTCACACTGTAATCATCCGGCTACAAAACACCTCAGTTATTATGCTCAAGTGTAGAGTAATTGTATGGTCCTTTCTCTCCTCTTTTTGGAACTGTAAACAATGCTTTGGTGTACTACTGTATTCAACAAATACAGACTCTTTCCAACCTTTCCACGAATAAAACGAATACGACTCTTTGAATGGGAGTGCACACAATACAAAGACAGCGCTCATAATCTTTACCTGTCTGGTTGTGTGTCTTTGGCCAAATATTTCAGAGTTGGATACAGGTCCATGAGGCTAGTGGGTTCGTCCACTACTCTTCCAGCTGCCAGTCTGCCAGGCCAGCGGAAAATACCAGGCACTCTGATCCCCCCCTCCCAGCCTCCCATAGCTTTCCCACCTATAGGGGAGCAATTAAGATACATTACACACAACAACAAATAGCTAAACGTTTGCAGTAAATGCAGTAAGAAAGATATGCGCTTTGTATAACTGTGTTTAATCCTGACTGTCAGAACAGTGTAAGTTGATGTCTACCTTTATAAATGCCGTTCCAGCCTCCTTTCTGGCCAATTATGGAATCAGCATCTTCTAGGTGTCCACCATGGTCTGATGTAAAGTACATCAGAGTATTGTTGGCAAGGCCGAGGGAGTCCACTGTCTCTGTAATTTGACCTGGAATACATATTAATATAGCATTAGAGATGGTTGGAAAGAGAGTTCAAACTCCACAAACAGATAGCGACTGCTCTGACTTTCCTTCTGCTTAAAGGACAATTCTGTCTTATCCGTGTTAGTATTACTTTGGCACACACTAAACAGAACAGTATTGTACATATAGAACCCACTGATGATTGGATGTTTGCACCTTCATGAAATGCTGGGTAGTAACAGCCAATCAGGCCAGTTTACCACTCTCAAACCAGAGGCCAGTATGTAATGTTTAGCAATGCATGCCGATATATACTCGCCGATCATCCAGTCCACCTCTTCTAGGTTATCACCGTAGCCACCATGGCGACTTTTGCCAGCAAAGGCGGGTGTTTTGAAGAGTGGCGTGTGGATGTGGGCCAATGAGAAGAAGAGGAGGAATGGCTGATCAACATTCCTGAAGAGAAGACGATAGAAGTTTTTATGTCAGGAAACCTATGCAGCCAATCCCTGATATACAGCAGCGTATACCTCCAGTGATGTCCAAAAACAAACAACCACATCAACTAACAGACACATCAATGAGCCACATATCGACTTGTTTCGAGTCAGTCCCACATACACTGTCCTGGTGCTGTAAATACTCGGGGGGGGGGGGGGTTCACGCCTGTGATGCTTTTTTTCTGATTGAGACGAACAGATGTACCTCTTTATAACGTTTTGCGCTTCTCTCAGTAACCTCTGGGGCAGTGTCTCCACTGTCATTGGCTGTTCGATCACTTCTTGGTTTCTCATGATGATGCAGTTCCATGTCTGCAGGCATTTAAAGGGTATGTACCACACAGCGGCTGCTAGGATACTGAGAAAAACAAGCACTGCCAATAGCCACAGGCTGACTTCAAGGAGGCCACACACACGGACACACACCTAAAAACACATAACACACACACACACACACCCATACGTTTAGAAAGAAAGCACACACACCAAATTAAACCACCATACTGTGCAGATACTGTATGAAATTCAGACATTTTAGTGAAGAATGTATTTAAAAATCTAGATAAGATAAAAACAACCATAATCTATATAGAAATATGCATAATAAATATATAATAGATACACTTTTAGATGAAATATAATTACATATGTTAAGGTTATAATATATTATTCAATCAAACCAAAACCTAAAAAATGAGAACTGTTGGTGAACATCTCTCTGGTTATGTCTCAACATATATTTAGCATTATCATGTTGCTACAGCAGGACTGCAGCCCTACATTGCATTGGACATGTAATATTGTGGTACCATGACACTTTGTATTACTGTCTGGGACTGCAATTCCATGATTTTGCCACTAGATGACATCACAAACCATTACCGAAAAGGTTACTCAATTTCAGGAGTGAAACAAATAGTGCATTGTGTTCTTTGTTCATACATACTGTACAGTATTTAAATTTAGGTCTGAAAATAGTTTTATAGACTTCTGTCTTCCTGCTGGTTACTCTAAATAGTTCTTTACTACTGTATTTTGTTGTGGTTCAGTTTTCCTTTTATCGAACATATTTACCTGTGGCTCAGCTGGTTGCCATTCATCCTACAGGGACATACTTATCCCCAAGTCCTCACGAGTTTCACTTTTTACGATACTCTGCTTTCTCATGAAACAGGTTACTGGCTGCAGTGACTGTGAATTTCACAACTGCATCTTTTGTTCCCAATCTTTTTTTTTCCAACCCTGTGGCTCATGTCTTCTTGATGACACATTAGTTATTTTCCTTTGGACAGAATGGTACAGCAACTCTTTGTTTTCCAATTTCTTCCTCTTTGTCTGGCAACCCAAATGTATCACTCTGTTTTTCATTTTGGTTTCCATCTTTTTCTAATATTATGTGCCTCTATGGGTCTTTTTTTAGATGTACCTTACTGTGATCATTTCTAGGAAGAGACGGCTTAACTCAACAACTGAAAAAAAAAAGAAGATCACCCTTACCAGCGAGAAAAGTCCAACTCCAAGCAACATGATAAGATTTCCGAGTGTGTGCTGGAGGTCTGCCATGATATCACTCCCTTCTCCGGGCACACAGTCATTGAACAGAGTGAACGGCAGGCCGTAGAAGTAGCTGAAGCCATGCTGGTTTGGATGGTGGCAATGGTCCCCTCTCTGTTCACAGTTCACACCCAAGTGCCACTTACCTGCAGAGCCACAAACAGAGAGAAAGAGAGCGATAGATGAAGTAGTGGACACTCAAAAACAAAGAGGAGAGACAGGAATGTGAATACACGGCAGCCTCTCATTATGCAAAATTGTTTAATTTCAACATTCTACATTCACCAGGGAATCCTTCTTTGACTTGCACAAAACAAATGCAAAATCATATGTGGGCTGGCAATGCTTGTGAAGTGTCAAATATTGTTGCACACACACACACACACACACACACACACACACACACACACACACACGCACACACACCTGTCTTTTAATTGGTTACTGAAAGATCTATAAGTCTATATGGGAATTGGAACTCTCTTGAGCACAATTTTGCATATTTTATTAGGTAATTACAATTTGTAATATGATACTGTTGGGCAGCTTTCTTTGTATGTAGCGTCAAGCACAGTACAGCTGACCCAGCTTCAAGCACCTATGAAGTTCGAACATCTGACCGGCTGAAGAGTCCATAACTCTTGTTGTCTGGAGGAGGGGAAGGAGACATTTCACAATGAGAGGACCAAAGAATAAATGATCATGTTAAGTTATCTTACCCACTAGGCTGGTGGTGTATCCTTCTTGCTGCAGCCTCTTAGCAAAGGTGGTCTCACTGGGTGGCAGCCCCCCTGAACCACCAAGGAACAGCAGCACCTGCACGCGGCCTGTGCTTCCCAGTCCTAGTCAACAGACACACATATGGGGAGAAAATAAAACAAACGCTACGGAACATACTGTCAAACATTGCTGTACAAATATGACGAAGATGCTCCTTTCTGCACCAGCTTTGTTACCTGAGCGGAGTGCATAGCGCCCCGTCATAAAAGCGGCCCGGCTCGGGGTGCAGAGGGGAGCAGCTGCAATGTGCTGAGTCAACTTTACCCCTTCAGAAGCAAGTCTGTCTATGTTAGGAGTCCTTCAGGGACAGAGGTGTAAATATGTATTGTTAATAGATAGAACAGAGACATATAGATGAGGAAATAAATACACATTTAATTCCAGGCAGCACATCAGAGTGAGACTAGACACAGATATAGTGAAATACCACAGACATGATGTAATAAGCAGGCTGTGATGATGATAAAAGACAATGTTAACTAGAAAGGCGTCCTCCGTAGAGTGCAGATCTCCGCCAGGTGTGTCAACAACGACCGCAGCTGTATAGGTCCTTTTCACAGCAGCCATTTGACGTGTCATTGCAGGGTAAACACAGGTGTAAATAATAACATTAACTAAGGCCCTGATCTATTTAGGTGCACCAGGGCCCTGGTATTGTGCATGCTAGCTCACTGGAATGACTGTGACACACTAAATAGAATGAGACCATAATTCGTTTTATCAATTACACCTGTGTTTGGCAGCGATAATAATAAATAGGTGAAGTCAGAAAATAGAAAGAACAGAGCAGACAATGGGTGAGCAAAAAGAGGAAGAGACACACAGAAACAGAAGCATTACACATTTATTAGAACTGACCTGATGGTGTCATTACCGTAGCATCCTACATCACCAATGCCCAGGTCATCCACCATCATCAGAACAAAGTTGGGCTTCCTGTCTACCGTCTCTCCTGTGACATCTCTCCCTGCTGCCAGGAGCAGGAAGAGAAGATGTGCCAACAGAGGGAGCCTTAGGGTGAAGGATTAAAAGTGATTGTGGCAGTTTTATTTGACGACATTCCGCTGAAACTATTAGTTGACAGACTGATTTTCAGAACCAACAATTTTGAGAATCCAAAGTATGTGCTGTTGTATGCATTCAGTTGGGACATACTACCTCCTCTTAAGATTACACCTTGTACTTAAACCCGCTTGCTCATGTATTTGCTGTGCAGAGGATTGAGGGTCAGAGCAACCAGAAAAGCATGCTGGCTTGCATACTGCAAAAAGCTACCGGATACAGTAGGACTTTCTGGTATTTTTTGGCGTACTGCATTTCACATACTATGTATTGGGACACAAAAAAACTTTTTCTGGCATATTAAATAGAATGGAAGTATGGTTATTGGAACGCACAGAGTGTTTCGTTTGTCTATTCTGGGCTTCTGTAAAAACATATGAAGGGCTCATTCTAGGCTGACATAAACACAACGATTCTTAGTTGAAGCTCATTAGACCCAAATGAAAACATTGTGAATATTATATTCCATTTCAGGCAATAAATCCCCCTAATTCCAACACACTGGTCCTTTAAATCATTCATTCGAACATCCAACATTCTCTGGATTTTAGCTTCTAAATTTGAGTATTTGCTAATTTCCTCTGTATCACGTAGGATATATTTGGTTTTTGGACTGTTGGCTAGACAAAACATTTCACTTGGATTCTGGCATCTTAGTTTTTTACTATAATTTGACATTTAACATACAAAAGATTAATTGAGAAAATACTCAATAATACAGTATTTGTAATTGACAGCAGTTTGTGTCCTATCACTTTACACTGCTCCTACAAGTAATACCAATAAAGCCATGATGTTTTATGTACTATTTTTTCAAGTATTTGCTTTAGATTCAGAGTTCCTCTGAACAAAGATTTTTTTCCACACTTCCAATGAGCCTCCCCTGAAAACGTTTGGAGCGCCCCTGCGAAGACCCGCATCCCACAACCTCTAATATATAACGTGTAACGTCAAGTCGAACTGGTTCCCTTTCACTTAACCCGGTTGTCTAATCACTATGGCGCAATACTCAAGAGTCTCAATAAATATGGCGTCCAGCTAAACCCAATGCTGTGGTCAAGTCGTCTTCCATGAACGGTACAACATGACTTTTTGCCTCTTACAGCAGGAAGCAATGATACTGAAACTGAAACTTAGACAACAATAAACATTTGCAAGTTCAAAACTGCAGCAAAGGTGCCACTTGCGATCAGTCTGCAATGCCTTGAAAGCAAGACATTCCGACGTTCGATGGACGCATCGTTACATGTTCGTTCCTAATGTGAAGCTCATTCAGACATTGCATGTGCTGTTGTTTTAAATGGGCAAAGGTAAATGCGCTATGAACTCACCGCATACTTGCACAGTGGACTGACTCAAAAACCAAAAGAATGTGACACATCTCCCCCTCTGCTCTGACTCTACAGTAATGACTGCCCTCTAAGCGCACAACCGCATTCGCATTAATGTGTGGAGTAAATGCGCACAAGAAAAGTTATCTTGCACTCCATGTCTGATGGGTGTAGTCAGCAGTTATTTTGTAGATTCGATTTAACATATAATATTATGAGGAACTGCTCAATCCTGTAGTTTAATCCAATGACGACTAACCTTTTTGCCATGTGATCTTTTATATCCAGGCAAAGCATACTGACGCCCCCTCAACACAGGTTGTCTGTGTTGTGAGCAGTTAGAGAGATATTTCTTTTTTTAAATAATTTTTAGAGTTTTGACGAGTCAAAACTTTCGAAGAAAAATGTTTATCCCCAAGACACTAACACAATAGTCAATAATAGGTCGGCTGGGTTTAATTAGATGGTTTACAGTCGTTGTGTGTGATAAACGTTTGGCAAGAAGAACATACTCAGGTTCCCACATATTACTCCTGAAGGCCTCATGTGAGGATCTGTCACCATCAACTATTCACCAAACTCTAACCTGTGTATATGACTTACATTATATAAATACCTGATACATCGAACATGTCGTGGGATGCCCGTTTGTTTTTTGTTGACCTGAGCTTACTTAACTTTCCAGCAGCTTGCAGTCACTAAAGAAAGTCACAAAAACAGAGTGACAGAGGCACACATAGCTTCATAAACTTTACATAAAAATGGTGTACGTGCTGTATACATCTTAAGTGTAAAAATACCAATGTTTCAATATCATTCTTTAAGTTCAGTGATGCAATTTAAAGTTATTTTGACCTAATGTGTTACACACCAGACAAAATATATCTAGCAGGGAAGTAGAACACAAACTCCCACGAAAACGTTTTTTATTGACTCCTTAAACATTATTTACACAATTCCAGAAGAACAATACAAGTGCCAGATGGAGAAAAAAAATGAAGACAGTTCCTACACAAAATTAAAACACAGCGTATTTAAATAAAAAGGAAGAGTCACTTGTCTAAATCAAAAATGAATTGTCTAATATGTTTAATAAATCAAGACGTATATATACAGGATAGGAAAGTGCTTCTCCCATAGAGATTGTTATTAAAATCACCTGCAAAACATCTCTGCTCGTTTTATCGTTTACTTTCTGATGATGACGTTCTTTGTTTTCTTCTCTGGAATGTTCAAGAGGCGGTATAAGGCAGGACTGGTCAGTGCCACATTGATGCCTTAGCATTTTCTGGGAAGTGCACTTCAGGACCCAATAAGTTAACGATTTCCTTGGTTTTACATTCTGGTTTGGATGCTATGCTCCAATAGTTTGTGTTTACAAGGAATGTGACAGTTTGAGACTAAATGTGGAATACTGGACCATAATGCTCAAAACACAAGCATCCCTTGTGCCCTTTAAAGGGCTGTGTTGTTGCTTCGGTCTCCTTTAAGGTTTTCTGAATGTGCACTGCAGCGGACTGCTTTTGTTGATTTCTATTGCACTTGTTGGAGTGCAAAAAGTACTGCATTAAAAGGAGGATGTTTTGTTTTGAAGGCATCGGTGGCGACATCTGAAAGCTTGTACTGTTAGTTAGTGGGTATTTTGTGCAGTAAGAGATTTCAGACACACTATCCACTTAGTTCCAATGTGTCAAGAGAAACTCTATCACAGATTACAGAATAAGAAGGCATTTCATCCAGAGCTTTGACACAGCGTCCAGCCCACAGTTTGCACAGTAGGATTAATCGATATGTGACAGTACAGACTATGAATAATTCTCAGTTCTAGGCTAGGCTGTTAGCAACAGTCTCTGTCCTGTATTGCAGCTATATGGTGCTTTACAAATAACACACTTTACATGAACTGCAGCACTATGTAACCTCTATAACCCTATTTCATAATTTAAAGGGTGCAGAGCAAGTACAAAACTGCAAGGCAACAAAAAGACATTCAGAAGTTAATATTTTTTGTGCTACAGCTGCAAAAAAAAAGAGTAACTGTTGGGCTTCTTCTTCTTTTTTTCAAGCACTTGCGCTGCTTCTGAGGCGTTTCACAATAATCAACCACTGCTAAATGTAAAATGCATATAAAAATCACAGGTGAATGGTGTCTGTAAGGTTGACATATGAATGATAAAAAAACACTGCGACAGCAACTGGCTTGTTCAAATAAAGGGACACGCAGAGAGGATACTTTTATGGCTGAAATGTGAGATTGTTAAAAGAGTTTGTATGCAATATTGGTTAAAAAAAGTACTGGAAGTAAAACAGCAAACAGCCCACTATGAACGGATACAGCAGCTGTTACAATAATGTAACAGTGTCACATACATAAACAGTCCAAGGTGAGGCTTTTCAACCACCGAAATGATTATGAATTAATTAAGATTGTACATTCCTCAATTGTCTAGTGTATTTTGATACATTCAACTACTAGTTTGCCTGTTTTCACTTGTATTGTCCCAGCTCTCTTCCCTGTGTGTCAGTAGATTGTTCAAGCCAGGCTGTGTCAGTGAAAGGCACTATAGAGGATAAATTACTGCATCACAACTAGACTGCCACATACTACATCAGAACAATGTCTAATACAATACCACATGACCTCTGTGAATTTGTCCATGTCAGGTGAACATTCATCCATTGACAGAAACAGGGTTGGACTCGACTCCACTTCACTTTTAAATGTTCAAATAACATTGTCAAATAAATGTATATGTGTTTAATTGTTCAACCAATTTGAAATGAATGAACTGAGTTTGTTTGATGAGAATTTTTCTTTTGTTTGATTGTAAATTTCACTCTTTCACTCTAATTTATTGAACTGACTGAGGAGAAGTGGTAGTCACCCAACAGGATTAAAAACTAATAAGCCCCTTCACCAACCCAACAAATAGACACATACAAACACACATACACACACGCAGTGACATCACTGGTCCAGGGAACACACATTGGACCATGTAGCATCCCCAGAATCTATCCTATAATATTTCTCCTCGCCAGAATCCAGGAGATACAGTGGTAGTTATTGAATCCCCCTGTTATCCTTCTATCCTGCATTTGTACTGCAGACTATTACAAAAACAAAAACAAAATATTTGAATTAAGTGGCTGTTGCCAGTGGACTTTCAAAATAATATGTGTGGCTCAAACAATGACAGAATTAGCACACACAACGAAAAATCCACTTTTTAGAATTCAGTACAAAGTTAAACATCTACAACACCAATAACTGTCACTGGTTTGTATTCACACTGAATTACTAGAACTGGATAGTGGCCATACAAATGAAATAAAAAAGTTTGTTCTTTAATTTTGCCATTTCATGGTTAATTTGTCCAATCATTTAATAAATTGCTATGTTGACAATCATAAAACCCTCAATGTTCACATATATTTACTCCCCACATATGTGCACACACACAAGAATGAACACGTATGCACACTCACACATTCAGACACATGGGCTCACTCACGCAGGCACGCACGCACACACACACACACACAAAATCAAACAGACAGAGACACACACACACACACACACACACACAGCCCTACTCCGGGGCCTCACAGTAATTTAGCTCCACAGAAGACGATAGAGCTTAACAGTGAGATTTGCCACTATGCTTGCCAGTCGTTGGTCCAGGCAGTCATGTGATCATTGCTGGTCTAGGAGGAGTTCAGCAGGTTACTAAGGACTGCAAAAAGGAAAAAGAAGGTTAAAATATTATAACATGCGTTTGATCTGTGTGTTTGTATCTTCTTTGCGTATGTGGGTGTGTTTTCTGTGTCCTACCCTGGGGATCTGACTGAGCCTCTGTTGCAACAGCTTTGCGTGCAGCTTCTGGATCCACTTCTAATCAGAGATCGACAAAGTCAGATAGACGCACACGGACGGGGAAATTCAAGCAGACAAATCATCACATGACCGTTTGGATTTCACAAGCATTTAGTTAAGTGACAACGAATTAAGTGCGACGCCGGGGGACTTTCTGAGGATGTTAACATTTCTCGGCTCTAATTGCTTATTTTTACCACTGTGACGATTTGTTGGTGTCAGCTGTAAAAGCTAAATAAATTAATTTCTGTGCAGTGAAGCCTGCCTATTTATTGTCAATGGAGCAGCTGCAATGCTGTACCTGCTAATTACATTGCTATTTACAATCCTTACTCTCTGCCGCTGATCAAGAATCATTCATCGTCTTGTCTTAATGTTTTTATACACTTTTTAACTGTTGCTGCTGTACTGACTGAGTCGCCAACTTAATTTCGTTGTGTGTTCGTACTATGACAATAAACATCCTTATCCTTATCCTTTATCCTTATTCATATTCATGAATACTAAATATATATAAAAAACATTTTTATTCATATTCAAAAAATGTGATAAATACTAGCTATCAATAGTCAAAGTATAGTCCTTATTCTTACACATATATATATCTCTAACTATATTTGACTTTTGTCTTACATTGCTTAATTAAGATGAATGGCCTATTGCTCATGTTGAATCGGTAGTATTGGTATGCAGGATGTGTGTGAGTTGACTGTAAGTGACAACACTCTATAAGGGATGAAGCTGAGGCTACTATATCTCAAAGAAATACTGCTGACCTTTAGAACTTGTGATTTTCAGACCAAATGTCACACACTCCCACCCATCTCGCCCTCGAGCCTGGCTAAAGCAAAGTGTTACTAAAGACGCTGGCAGCTTGATTAAAGGCTCCGATTCTGCTATGGTCCAAGTGAAGCATATGCAGTACTCTCCTGCACCCGATAGCAATAGAAAAACAACAAATCTCGACTTGCAGGTCCTTGTTGAAGAAACTAGAGTCTAAATGTGCTGTGATCGAGCAAACATCAAGCCTTGTGTACAGCAGTTAAGTTTCCTGTTATTTGTTTTTTAGTTAATTAATTAGTCTGCAAGATATTTACCTTGTCTATCTTTGAAGCACAGTTTCTTTTTCTGGTAGGTGAAGTATCCAACAACTGCTCCCACTACAGACACCACAATTGCACTCAGGATGGCTGCCAAAGAGCCGGAGCTGGCCTCTGCACGTAGGAAACAAACAAACAAAAAAGATAATGTACACCGGTGCATCAGAGCTGCATAATGTCAACTTTATCAAAGTCATTCGAGCATGTGTTGTGATACGACTGTGAATATTTTTGTCAGTGTAACCGCTACTTAAAGAGAATGTAAAGCTCAGTATCAACACTGGGTGCCGTTTTGCAGTTGAAATGATGAATAACATGACATAATGCGTGCGTCTGATTGAGATGCATCATCCTGTCGCAGCATTTTCTGATGCCATTTCACTCGCCTACCCAACCATTTAGACCCCTAAAAGCATTCACTGTGACAGCATCTGTCTGCCCCTGTAATCCAGTTACTATGACAACACCGACCTGAATAGTTTTCCTGCTGTGTCATAAGTCTGTCTGTTAACGGCACACGAACACATGCACACCTAAAACCTGCAATGCCATGATAACCATGATCTTTAGCATTCCTAAATACTAGTTAAAGTACATCAACAAATACACCACTACAAGAAAAAGACCAGCTTAATGACTTAATTGACTAATTGAATTAACCTATTACAGTATATATACTAGGTATTTCCTCTTGCTGATACAACAAAGACTTGACACACCTAATGACAGGCGACTACACTACAACACTACATGTACTTTGTATATTATTCAAGGTTTGATGAAGGTGGATCGCCAGGCCATTTAAGGTAACATTACACAAATATTTAATAGCTATATTATGCTGCTAAGCCTTCTGAATTTACTATAAATGAGGAAGGTAGAAGTGAAGATTACAAACCAGACCATAAATCTGTGGAAAATTTGTTTTTTGCCATTCTGACCTAAACATATGAGTAAAAAATCAGACAGAAGGGATTGTTTACTGATTGTTTATCATCCATTATTATTGTTTTTCCTCGTCACATTTCTTCTAAATACTAGCTCTTTATTGTCCCTGCAGTGGCTTCAGTCAAAACAATGTAATAACGGCGGGATATGCTGAAGTGGCAATAGAGAGAATGAAGGAAGGGCAGACCTGATGTTTGGTTGTGATGGGTGAGTCAGCAACTTAAGTTCACAAAAATTAAAGAGCACAGTAAATATAGTGATGAACAAAGTTAAAAAGATAGAACAAAAAGGGAGTGGAATGAGTCAGAGGAGTCGTGTGACTCAAGATAAATGAAAGAAAAAGGAATGAGTCAGTGCAATTAGGTGAAATAAAACAGGAGAAGGCAGTGAGTCAGCAAGGAAGTAAATGTGTGTAGACACAGACATGTATGAACATGCATGTGCACAACTACAGAACACACACCACGGACACACCGGTTTGTGTGGTGTAAAAAGACTGCATGAACACATACATACAGTGATAAACTGACAAAATAGAAACATTTGCCTTTTCCTTTGCCTGGACTTGCCATTCATTTAATTAAGAAAGATACTTCTTAAAGTTTTTTTTTAAATGTTATGCAGCAGCTGCAGCAACAACACACCTGATCAGGGCTTTTTGCTTTACACAAGACAATAGGGGAACGCTGCAGGTATGTTTGGGGCCATGCATGGGTGGGTGGGTTAATGTATTCAAAACAAAAAATAAAGCGAAGAAAGATAACTCACCTTGGGCTTCAGGTTTGACTGTTGGTTAGAACAGAGAACACACAAATACAGTTAGCAACATGACAGGACATTTCATATTTAATGTGACACGAGCAACGGTGTATTTAAGCAGGGACAACCATGCATCTGTCAAACTGTATCTGTTTGAGAATCACAGAAGTTAGCTTCAGCAGAAGCACTTCCAACAGAAGTAGCGTGACTATGGATTCAAGGTCAAATACTCTTTCGGAAGACCAGTTTCAAACGTTGTTTGAACTAAAACAATTGGGAAGAGACATTTTCCGCTGAGTCTTGTTTCCTGTTTATTCAGAGGCATGCCAGCCGTATGTTGGGTGTTTCACTAGTTTCCAGAACTACCTATATGTAAGCCCAACTGCTGCTGTGGCTGCAAAGCTACGTATCTGTCTGGGATTTCTGCGATTTGGACAGAAGATGGCATGATTTTGATAATTGTTTCGTTATCATAAATATTTTGACCATGAACAAAAAAAGTCTTACCCTCTCCACTTGCGCCAGCAGCATGTGCTAAAAGGAGAAAGGAGAGACAGGTGATTTAAGGAAGATGGAAAAAAAAAAACACATAAGGCAAAGAAGAAGAAGAAAGGAGCAGGATTATTATCTTTGTGGTAGTTTATACCGAGAAGGCATTAATAAGTCTAGAATTTCTGTCCTAACCAGTCTGTCTCTTCTGTACACTCATTAAAATGGCTTTATTATATCAGAGATAAAATATCTGAAGGAGACACACGCCCTCGATGTCTTTCACTCTGATCTATGATTCGTTCCAATCCTGTTATCTCCTGTCTGTATATGCCTGGGACATCATGGCTTCCCTCTACCTGCTTTAACTTGACAAAGCTGCTAATAACAGAGCACTAAAGAAGTGCGCATTTCACAAGATTATAATGATTGTGCCGACGTAGACGAATCCACTTTCAGATTGGGAATAAAGGGTGAAAGCTGCGAGACAATCAGCGTGAAAGTGTTGCTGTCAAATTGCTCTGCGGCTAGTGATTAAACCTTCTTGACCCAGGAGGTAAAACGATAAAATTCGTTGTCTTGTCATGGGAACGGCATTCTCGCAGCATATAGATCCACGAGAAGAATGTCTAAAAGCACTATGATAAGGTGCTGTGACAAAAACAGGAAAGCTTAAGAGTTATAAAATGCTGAATGGGGAGATTAGTCTATTTTAGCTCAAGACACAAATATCTATGGGTTCTATAAGCTGCTCTGCTCCAACGGGGTACATGAAGTAAAACTATAATTCTCTCCAAAGAATGATGACTAGCCATGTTCTTGAAATTTTCCTATTTTTAAAAGACACTAACTTCCGCATTTACAAAGAAATTACATTAATTATCAAATGTCCCATCCACTTCCTGTTCACATGGTCTTGTAAACAGGAAGTTTAGGCTAACTAGTTTAAAGTATAAAACACTCGGAGAAGGTGAAACTGGTAAAATGCATTATTATTATTATTATTATTATTATTAACATCCGGTCCCTGCGGGGTTAATCTTACTGTTCCACATAGTTTCCAACTGAGTGATAAAAAAGACATCCCAGACTGTGGTAACTATGAAAGACAGTACAATCCCATCAAAACTGAGCCTTCTCTTCCCCAGGGTCTTGTCTGTATTGCTAACTGTGTACCCGACGGTTCTTGTGTGCATCTCTACATACTTTCTGGTTATTTGTTACAATGATAATATCAAAGGTATTGCTATAATAGTTACTCACTCCCAGATTCAAAGCTGCTCCTCTTTCCTGGGCCTTCCACCACATTGTCTTCTGACAGAGCATCTCCAATGTCAAACCCTACATCTGAAAAAAATATATTAGATATTATTGGTGACAGAAATGCAATATCAATCCCTGTAGGGAAATTCACTTTTCGCCATCCCGCCCATTGAGGGTTATCTTCCAGATGTTCACCTATAACATGTCATCTCTTTAACACTCTTTACTACCCTGTTGCATGTTGAACTATTTAATGATAATATCAGCTACACTGTCCACTTCACTACAGTGATTACCCTGCAGAGGTGTCCTCGATAAGGACTCTGTAACACTACCTGCTCCAAGGGTGTGTCGGTGATCTTGTGAACTAGTGTTGACTCAGATTAAAGGATCTTATCTTTCAGGAACAATACCAAAACCCTGACTCTATAAAATTGGGGGAAAACCCAAGTGACTTATACAACACGTGGGACTCTGTGAACACAACAGCTTTAGGCTGAGCGGGGCGAGGTAGGATTGGTGAATTATTTTAGATAGAAGCTCAGGGGCATAATGATCCAGTGACCTGAAAGAAGTCCATTAAATCATTGTGAGTAAGAATTGCTCTCATTGTAAAGCACCATTTGTCACACACGAATGTTACGTAATGAGCCAAGTTTTACTCCGATCCTATCTACTGAGCCTCCTTTCTTCTTTTATACCTCTCTGGCCTTTCCATTAATCTCACCACCTTCTCCTTTCTACTCTGTCCCCTTGCGTCTCCCTTTATCGCTTTCCTTTTGTTTTTACACCTCTCCCCGACCTTGTTCTCTTCTCTCTTTACTCTCCTGTCTCTGTGTCTCTATCCTCCTTTCCATTTCTCAACTCTTTTCCTCTTGTCACCACCGTGCAAGAATGTTTGCCTGCCAGATGTCACATGGAAGACTCCTTCCATAGCAATCATTTCCTCAACACTGCACGGCAATGTTCTTAGTTGTTAGCATGACGAAGAGGAGACAATGGCCAGCCTAGTATAAAATGTAATGTTTTTTACAATGCTGCCATGTAGGACTTCAACATTTCCATCTGTCCCAAGCGTCAATTCAGCAGTTCAGCTTCTTTGTGGATTCATTGTTACCATGGTTACTGAAATAAAATGGGTTTTAATTGTGTTCTCCTGAGGTGCTCTTGTATGATGAAAAGAGCTTTTGAGTCATACCAAATTATTTGTGGTGTGCCTCAGTAATTAGTTTAGCTGCGAGACTTGGCTCCAGAAAGGTTGAGGTTTGTATAATGTGGCTTTGGAAATGTTTCAAACGAAAGAGCAGAATCTATTTTTATTATGCTACCTACCTGCCCAGGGACTAAGAGGGGGAGCATTTTTGCTAAAACCTGGTACATTACATCTCTCCTTGTCTTACATAGGGTTAATGTTCTTTGTGCATTTTCCCTGTTCAAATAAAGAAACATAACATGACAATGAAATGAAAAAAAACTATTTTTTACCATTATTCACCTCAGGAACATCATCCACCTCAACTGTTGGCAAAGAAAAAGAACAGAATCATGCAAACATCTTAAATACACACAGAAACGCTAAAAATTATAAGGCATAATATACAAAAATCCTTAGCTGCCATGACACAACATGGCGTGTTAATTAAGACAGAATGTAGCAGAACAAAGGGGCAGAACAGGAAGTTTCACAGTTTCCCCATGTAAAGGACACACATGCCAAAGGGGTGAGCTCATCTACAGAATACATTTGCTATTTTCTCTACAACTCGTTATTATATTTGTGTACTTTTAATACAAATCAAAAAGTTACACATGGTCCAAAATGCCTTAGCATGTAACAATTTATAAGTTCTTACTTACTGTCTCAAGGTGCTATTCTGTACCGACGTAATTAGGTAAAAACAAGGAAACAAGCATTGAAGTTCTTGCTTTCATGAATTAAAGTATATCAGTGACACAGGGATCCTTGTTGCCTTCTTTTTAATATGATGAGTGCACGGTATTCACCAGAACATATATATTCTTACTTTCTGGAACAAGGACCTCCACTTCTGGTTCGACTTTTTCCTCAACAGCTGATTTTGTTGGTTGTGCATCAGCAGTAGGATCAATTGTTTTTTCCTCATTATCTGCTACAGCTGGATCTGCTGCTGATGTGGCCTCAGGTCCACTCTATTATATATGAATATATAAAATATTAACATGTAGAAAGGTCACATTAACTTCTCATTAGCATAGCAGTTCCTGAATAATATCTGTGTTCTAAACAGCATGTCCGCAATTATGCATAACTGGAACATGGAAGTTTTGTTCACATTTGTCAGAGTAGATTTGAATAACTTTAAGACTTTCAAACTCTGCTACTGACCTCCTCCTCAGCAGGTGTTGCACCAGTGCTTGATGTAGCTTCCTCCTCTCCGAGAGCAGTTGGTTCCTCAGCGTTTGGATCAATGACCTCAGGATCAGCTGCAGGCACTGCAGGAGAGGGAAACAGAGGGGAGGATGTGTTTTTATCATCCAAGTGTTATGGCATGGGCTGTGATAGCTTACTGTTTAATGCATGTTGCAAGCAAAACCAGACAGGCTGGAAAAGTAATTTTAAACACCAACTGTGCACAAGCTGTTTTCAGTGTGCATATTTTCATATTTGAACACTTGTTGATCACCTTCTATTGTTGTAGTGGCCTCAGCCTCTGCATCTGCCTCCGCCCCTGCCTTCACCTCCGGCTCGGTGTCTGCTGCAGGCGTGTCTGCCACTACAACCGCAGGAGTCACTGGTTCACCGGCTTCATTATCAGGCTCACTCGCTGTTGGTGGTATTTCCTATATTCAGCACAAGATATACATTATTATGTTCACATAATGATTCAGAAAACAAGTCTCTGGTTTGGGGTTTTAGGTTCACTTCAGCTTATTTGTTAAAATTTCACCATCCCTTTCTTGTAATAAGCAAGAGAAATACAAAACACAAAGTCAGTCTGAAAAGGGCAAAGACACCGAGCTTTCATTACATTTCATGCCAATAACATAATGCTCCATAAGACTTTCAATACTCAACCAAGAGCTAACATGAGATGATTTTCAGCTATTTGATACAACTCAGCTTATCAAATAACTGCCTGAAGATTTAGAACTAGATTTTCTTGACTAAACTGAATCCAGGACCCTCAGAGGCACTGTTACCCAGAAACACTGATTCATTCTGATTAAAGGTTTGGAGAGAGGACGGCGACTAAGGACAAAAAAGTTTCCAATGTCATAGTAACCCAAACTTAACAATAACACTTTATTTTTTACATAATTCACCCAAACATTATTCAGACCTGCACTTATTTCACTTTTTTAGGTGTCACTTGGGGTTCAGTGTCTAGCTCAAGGACACTTCCACATGCGGACAGAAGGAGCCGGAGATTGAACGGCTACCTCGTGACCCAGTCTACCCCCTGAGCCACAGCCGCCGACCAGTTATTACAAAATTATAGTCAGTACCATGATGAAACCAAAAGTGGTTGCTTTAAGATTCGTGATTCACCAGGAGACCTTCTCTGAGATAAAAGACGAAGAAGAAGATTGGACTGATTGACAGATTTTGAAAAAGGATTCAAGCTAAAACCAATAAACAAAAGTATTATCATTCTTCACCTCGGCTGTATGCTCAGTTTCCTTGTCAGCGGCGGAATCTCCATTGACCTCTGCCGTTGTGTCTGCTTCAGGGGCCGGGGCCTCAGGAGCTGCTGCCTCCTCTGTTGGGGCTTCATCATCTACAGATAGATATGTAAAGAAAGAAAGTAATAGAATAATGAAAAACAGCACACATCCAGTGAAGTTCCAACTACTGAGACACATCAATTTCAAAATGTGGGAAAATTTCAGGGCTGTTCTGAAACCCTGGTGCTTCAATGAACATATACACGTCAGATAAAAGCTGGAGCAACTATAATTTTCTTTTTTAGAGAAGAAAGGAATCAGACATGGCAACCCAGAATCTCTCTCAAAGCTATAGTTTCTTCTTCCTTTCAAAGCTTGCAACTTAAAAACACAGCATCCCTAAAATTGACTGTATTGACTATTATTGTGTGCCCTCTACTGCTCATAAACAAATAAGTGGAAACATTATAAGTCTAACCTAAAACAGAACAAATAGAAGACGAGACTGGTAGTGATTAGTGTAATCATTGCTAATTAAAAACAGCATGCCTTTAATCCATCTGTTCTCATTTATGACCATTCAAATCATCTGTCTCAATGGTCGTTAAGCTGTTGTGGATTCATCACATTCTCTAACGCGACTATCACCACCGACACATAGAGCCACGCCCTGCTCTGACTGCTCCCTGATGTGAACGCTGCAGCCACAACTGGCTGACATCGATCACAGCTCACCTGCCTCAACAGACTCGACGTCAGCGCAAGCATCGCAACTCCGTACGAATGAGAAAATGCAAAGCGCATGTCTTTGTCATTCTGTGTGTGCGAGGAGCATGGCGTTTGTGTGTGTTTGAGTCAGTGCTGTGACATTCCCCAGTCGCATGTGAGAAGCTGAAACAGCAAAACTGCGCACTTACTTAAGCGTTCCTTGCTCTGCTGATTTCAGCAGCACCATGATGCTGGTTCATCAGGGTAGTACCTTCCTCCAAATACAGGTACCAACCATTAAATAAGAGATATAACCATCTATTAATGGTGGTATGAGTGATTAAGAATGCATTGAAAAAGTGCAAAAGAAATGCACAGGAAGGAAAACACAATCAGAAAACTAGAAGTTGAAAATTGAGGACATCTCAGAAAGCAATAAGAGATATCAGGGTTCTGCTGCTCAGCATCACAACTCTCTTCCATAATATGCTCGCAGAAAATAATCCTTCATCTTTTCTAACAGCTGCTCATTGCCAAGAGAGCTTCCAATGAATGATCCCTGTGTTTGCCAAGTCAGATTGTATCAAAGTCAGAGAAGCCTTGAGGCAGAGCGACATCAACACATCTGAAGTATTTCCATCAGATCGTAAATTATCTGGAAGAGAGCAGTGCTGGTGACACCCTGACTTCCTTCACACGCCCTTGACACAAATCCATACACACAAGTGGGACCAAACAAAGCATGAAGAAACGCACACATCACATGCACTCACGCGCAGAAATATGAATGTGAGGCATGCACAGATGCATGGTTACTGACAGCAATCAAAACAAGCACTCTTTGTTTCCCTCAATTCCTGTTTCTCCGGTGAATGTCACTGTATGAGCTTGGCCATCAAAGATAAACAATAATTAGTGCCGTCAATAGTTTATTGAGAATCAAACAGCATTCCGAGCTCAATAAACTACTCAATAAATCACTGTCTCCATCAAAGAGGTACTGTGGCACGACATTCAACTTGTTGAACGAAGTTTAGATGCCAGTTGATGTGTCTCGCCAGTGTGCGGAAGGCTTATGATAAAAAGTAAAAAATGTGACAAAACTACAAACAATAGCGATAGGGCATGATTACTTTCTGCTGACATTTTATTGTTAATTTGTCAGACCAGGACCTCTGTTGATTGTGAGTATGTGTGTTATGTTATGTTATGTCTAAGTGGGAAATGATATTTTTTAATGGCATTGTGCCTATATGCACAATGTGTGCGTGAGGTGTGTGGCTCTAATGTACTGTGTGTGTGTGAGAGATACTAACTCTCTCTCTCTCTTTCCGTTGCCACTCCATAGACCATTCTGTTCCCATCTATCAGTTTGTCACTTCCTCCTTTAACTACCTTCGCTACAAACATGCACCCATACCCCCTCCCACCCCCACCTGCCATCACCTACAAACTCATTAAAACACCTTCCTCCCCTTTTAGTCCAAACATACAAACAGCCACATGTTCACACACGTAAAGGCAAGTTCATATTGACTCCAACACTTTGACTAAGCGGTGTCCTGTTTTGTGTTAGTACAGCAGAGAAACTAACTGTTGCACATCCAAAACCTCACTCCCTTTTTTCTTTTCGTCTTTAAGACTGTCTCCCCCCTTTCCTCTCTCTTGCTCCCTCCCAAACTCTTAACTTAACTCTCTTTGTCTCTCTGCCACTGCTTCCCCAGAGGCTGATGAGTCATCTGTGCGCCTCTGACATGGCCGCACGCTATTGTACGATTGTGTGCAAAAAGCTCCCCCAGAGGAGGACACTTAAGTCAAACCAGTTTACACATGTGGGAAAACACCAAACTGTCAGTTACATTGCGTTCTTTTAGGAAACTAGTCAAGTAGCTTGATAGACTCTATTGCCACTTTATCAAGTTTATCAACTATTGTACATCTAATGCAATCCAACACAACAGCTCTGCCACATGTTCTATATTAAACATTTAAGTAATCATAAACCTCTCCGACAGTGTCAATCCAAAAACATTATTAAAGGTTAAATGTTCTGTTAAATCATCGGATAGAGAGCACAGTTTGAGATTGGACCTATGAATAGACATACAGCTGAGCAGAAATTAAATGAATGGTTCAAACATTTTGGGTGATGAGCTTTCTCGTTTTCTTGCTGAGAGCTAGATTAAAAAAATTGATACCACTCTCATGACTGTACGGTAAATATAAAGCTCAAGCAAGGAGCCGATAGTAAACCAATAGCATCGCTCTGTCCAAAGGTAGCCTCTAACGCTCACTAATTAACATTTTATATCTCCTTATATGCCAGACTATATCTTGCATGAATTTAACAGATGAGCTCTTTAGAGGTGTGTGTGTGTGTGTGGGGGGGGGGTGGGGTACTATCGGCTCCTTGCTTGAGCTTTATATTTACCGT